GCGGGCTGGCGGCCGCCCAGCCGGGCCACTTCCTCTACATCCGGCCGACCCTCATCGGCACCCAGTCGCAGCTGGGCGTCCAGGCGCCGCGCGAGGCCATGCTCTACATCATCGTCACCTTCATGCCGCGCATGGACTCGCCCCCCGGCGGCATGCGCCTGCACACCTCGCCCGAGGACATGGTGCGCGCCTGGGTCGGCGGCTTCGGCTACGCCAAGGTCGGCGCCAACTACGGCCCTTCGCTCATGGCCACCCAGGACGCCCGCCGCCGCGGCTTCCACCAGGTCCTCTGGCTGTACGGCGCCCGGGGCGAGTGCACCGAGGCCGGCGCCTCCAACTTCTTCGTCGTCTGGGTCCGCAAGGACGGCAAGAGGGAGCTCATCACCGCCCCGCTCGACGACAAGCTGATCCTCGACGGCGTGACGCGCCGCAGCTGCCTGGACATTGTGCGCGAGCGCATGGCCGGCGAGATTGACGTGACGGAGCGCAAGTACACCATTGACGAGCTCGTCGAGGCGGATGCCGAGGGGCGTATTCTGGAATCCTTTGCCGCTGGTACTGCTGTATGAAAAGCCCTCTCCTCCCTTGAGATTTTGGATATTTTCATGTGGAATTTCATGACTGACGCTGCTTTTTTTTTTTTAGTACTTTATCTGCCCTGTTTCGCAGATCCACCACCGCGGCAAGGATATCAACATCCCCATGGGGCCCGAGGGCACGGCCGGCGAGGTGACGACCAAGATCAAGACGTGGATCGGCGACATCATGTACGGCCGCGAGCAGCACGAGTGGGGTGTCGTCATTCCCGAGAAGGAGCAGTAACGTAACGCCGTGCGTGTACAACGTTTGCCCGACGGGGTGTAAGAAAGAGTGAAGCGATTCACGGGATATAGGTTTCTTTATTGAATAGCGGTGTCTTTTTATAGTATGTTGGAACGATGGTTCTTTTTTTTTTGTTCTTTTTGGTTCTTCGCATAGTTGGAGTTGGGGCGAATATCCGGCTGCTTGGACGTGGCATGGCATGATTGGTAGATGTGCAATGACAGTGATCAAGATTTCACCCCTGGCACTGTGCTGAGATTGATGGTCGTTGCGTAGACGAGGTGTCGGCGATGGACGTGGCAGGACTACATGTCTGATGAAGGAGTCGGTATCAAGACCATCTTTCTTTACGACTCTCAAAATGAGTCGTGGCATCTTTGCCGCTCTTGGTAGGGCTGAGGCGGATGATGAAATGATATGTCGCACTACTTTTCTAATAATAGCTCCACTTTTAACTCTAACCAGTCCGTCGCCCACTTGACTCTTAACCTTAACCCTAACATTACCCCATTGACCCCGACTGCTATTTTTTAACTCTCGGGGGCTGGGTGGGGCTGGTATCACTATAGGGTGAGTGGTATCGTGCATTTGATAGAGCGAGAACGACACCTAGCCGTAAAAGATTCAGCATGAATACTGCTTGTTCTGCCATCGTAGCCCATGTCTCTTGTGACTTGGATAGCAAGCTACACGACGTTATATTTCTTGCTGCCCGTTCAATTGCGCCAGTGTAATAAATAATAGCATTTAATTCAGCAAAGACTATCTCCCTGTCAAGATTCGGCCTCAACACTAGTCAGTCTGCCATTGCAGCTTCATCATCTTGTGCGACATGTCCCATCGCGTCATGATACTTCTTGCCACCTCTTTAGTCCAGTACCTAGACATGATGTTGGCATTTTTTCCGCTTCGAACAATATTTACATCTGGGCCCCTCATAGAGCCAGCATGCAACACCATCTAGTCCGCCATCATGGCCTGCATCATCTTTTGCGACTCCTTCCACAGCAAGTCACGGTATTCCTTTGCCGCCCCGTTAGACCCGGCACGAAGCCCACGAGCCAAGAGACCACTCACCTTGTCCATCTGCTCGAGTTCAGCAGCCTTGTCCCTCACTATGCCGTCAATTTCCTGCACCAGGGCGTCGACCTCCTTGGCCGAGTCTGAATCGTCGTCGACCTCCGTCACCGCCATAATCTTTGCTTCTTGGTCGACACACGCCATCAACTCCGCGTGCACCGCCATCATGGCCTGCATCATCTTTTGCGACTCCTTCCACAGCAAGTCACGGTATTCCTTTGCCGCCCCGTTAGACCCGGCACGAAGCCCACGAGCCAAGAGACCACTCACCTTGTCCATCTGCTCGAGTTCAGCAGCCTTGTCCCTCACTATGCCGTCAATTTCCTGCACCAGGGCGTCGACCTCCTTGGCCGAGTCTGAATCGTCGTCGACCTCCGTCACCGCCATAATCTTTGCTTCTTGGTCGACACACGCCATCCACTCCGCGTGCAGAGACGCCAGCTGCTTCTCTGCGGCGTTCATCTTGTCCTTTAGCACAGACAGGTGCTGCGCAATGGTTCCCCGGGGGAAGTTTTTAGAGTGGCATATCGTCCTAGACAAGGGGTACGATATGTTGTCGTAGAGAGCGGCGGCATCGCTCAGCGCCGATGCCGATTCGGCGTGAAAGGCGTCGATTTGGCCGGAGATGGATTTGTGGACGGTCTGGATATTGGACACGGCCAACTTGTACGTCTCTTCGCCGGAGCGAGCAAATGTTTCTGCGATGCTTAGTTTTTCGAGCCATAGAGTGTTGCGGGGGGTTGGCATGACTACCCGCTAGATTGTTCATGATGATGTTTCCTCTATCGGGGGTGTGATGCGGCGCTGCTTGGCGACCGGACACCGAGGAAAAGGTAGCTCGTAGCTGCTTGTATATGTCATTGTTCTTCAAGTACGGCTCGGCGGCCGAGCATGCGGAGGCGTGCAAGGGAGGAGGGAATGGGTCTTCGCTGCGCAGTCTTGCACGGAGAGTGGAAATTGCCTTTTCAGCCGCCGTGGAGGAGCTTGCTTCGGGAGAGTCGTCAAGGGGGGGCGACATGGTGTGTGTTGGGGTGACGGAGCCGGAGTTGTGAAGAGGTGAAGAGTTGGTTTCTTGTAGAATTTGCATGTTGATGATGTGTGAGAGAGCAGGAGACCGGATGGAGCAGAAAAAGTCATGATGGACCGGCAGCTGGCAGACAGCTGGCCACCAGCGCTCACACTCGGCACACTGCAAGAATGAACCATAACCATGTATTGATGCAAATGTTCATAGACTCATTCAGCTCGTTAGCAGTTGCTCGCCCCGTCATGTCCTGAAGCCATCTGTATTCTCCAGGCCCAACCTGTCCTCGGCCACCGACACAATCTCCTGCCAACTCACCATGGCACCCTCGCCGACATCGTTACAGGCCAGGGTCTTGGACACGGGCCTCAGAACTTCGACCCAGCCGTCATGGCCGCCCCAATCCTCCTCCAGCGTCTTGATGTGCTTGGCCGTCAGCGGGTTCCTCCACATGGCCGTGTTCATGGCGACGGCGACGACAATCTTCTTCTTGACGCCGTCAATGGACCCGTCGTGATCCCACGCCCTCACCACGCTGAGCAGCAGGTTGTCGCAGATGCCCGCCACCATCTTGGCCATGGTGTTTGCACTCAGGGGCACAATCATGAGCAGGTCGGCCCATCTCCGCAGCTCGATGTGCAGGATGGGAGCGCCGCGCGCCCAGGGCCTCGTCCACTCGGCGGAATCGGTGTAGATGCCATCGACGTTGGGCAGGCGCCGCACCTCGGCGACGGTGGGCTGCTCGTCGGACTGGCCGCTGAGGAAGTGCTCTGCCGAGGCGGTGAGGACCAGGCGAATGGAGAGGTTGCTGTGGTAGGCGAGGCCGTTGATGATGTTGGCGATTTTGATGGTGGCGACGGAGCCGGAGACGGCTATGAGGAGGTGCTTCTTGCCGTCGTTGCGTGCGAGGGCCACGTTTCCGGCCGGAGTGTCCGCCTGCGCATCGGGGCCACTTCTTGATGCTTGCAACATGGCGTTGTGCTTGTGTGTATGTACGGTGAGCTGGACTCGGATGAGAGAGGTGTCCCTGGTGAGCAAGTCCTCAAGTTTGAAGCCAGATTACTCCGTGCGTGTTGATATATACAGCTCAAGTGACGTGAGAAGAAGCTGCAACACGACTGTCAATGATATTGCCGCAAAAATCAAGGTTGAAATGATTAGCCGCCGCCCATGAATTGTTCGACAAGAGCAACAACGGCTTGATAATACCGTTGACCACCAACCAGACTCATCACTTGGCAGGCGGCATCGGTGGACCGGCGCTGATTACATGAGCACTGATTGGTCAGCTTCCGCCTTCCCCCATGACATCAACGCCCGGCGCCGGCGTTGGTCAATGGTGGGTGAGAGCCGGGCAAGATTTCGCCCATTTTTTGCCCTCGACAGCACATCATCGCCCGTCCCATCACAAAGCAAAATAACCTCTCCCCAAGGCAAGACACTTGGTCGGCATGTTTTCCCGAAGCGTTGCGTCCGTACGTACATGAGCCCCCCATTGGCAAAACCCCATCTGCGTCCCTTTTGGCATCCGGCCATGGCTAACTTTCGCACGCTCGCCAGAGCTTGCTGCGACATGCTGCTCGCCCAGCCGTCCGCGCGCCCATCCCGTTCCGAGCTCCCATCTCGCCCCTGACGCCCCTGCAGGCGCGCCTCCTCTCGGAGGCAACCCGCTCGGCCATCGACAAGGCGGTTGCGTCGGCGCCCGTGGTGCTCTTCATGAAGGGCACGCCCGAGATGCCCCAGTGCGGCTTCTCCGCCACCGTCATCAAAATCCTCGGCATGCAGGGCGTCAACCCCGACAAGTTTGCCGCCTTCAACGTCCTCGAGGACGCCGAGCTGCGCGAGGGCATCAAGGAGTACTCCGACTGGCCGACCATTCCGCAGCTCTACGTCGACAAGGAGTTTGTCGGCGGCTGCGACATCCTGCGGACCATGCACACCAACGGCGAGCTGGCCAAGTTTTTCGAGGAAAAGGACGTTCTGGTCATGGAGGGCGATGCGTAACATAGACTGGCGGGAAATGGCGAAGAAAGGGTTCATCAGCAAGAGAGCAGTTTACATGTTGTGACGATATAGATGGTCCAAGGCGAACCCCGTGTACGATTACTCTGGTGAAGAAGGGGAAGAATTTGCTCCTCTGTGATACCTGAATATAGGTTGTTTACATGGAAACGAGGCCGTCAATCTAGCTGCTGCTCAATTTGTTTTTCATTCTCTACAAAATAGTCACCATCGGCTCAGCCCCTTGCACGTTGCAAAATTCTACAGGGGATACGCGGCACCGTCGGCCCTCATGTCGCTGCCCGCAGACCAGATGCGCGTTCCGTCGACCGGGTCAGCGACGTGGCGGATAATCTGCCCGCGGCCAAACAACCCCCTCGCCGTGCCGGTCACGACGCTTACCTTGTGGCCGAGCTTCCTCAGCCCCTCAATGGTCTCCTCGGGCATGCCCTCCTCGACATTCACGGTCCAGTCAATGGCCTCGCCGCTCTCGGGGAGTCCGCCGCCGATGCAGATTCTCGGGGCGTCGAGAGCCTGCTGGGGGTTCAGCCGGCCGACGAGCTGCCCCAGGAGGACCTGGACGTGGCCCTGGGGCTGCATGAAGCCGCCCATGACGCCAAAGGACGAGTGCAGCGATCCGTCGTGCAGGTTGGTCACCATGCCGGGGATGATTGTGTGGTACGGCCTCTTCCTGGGCTCCAGCTTGTTGGGGTGGTTGGGGTTGAGGGAGAAGTTGGACCCGCGGTTCTGGAGGGTGAAGCCGCAGCCCTTGGGGATGATGCTGGTTCCGAAGCCGGCGTAGTTGGAGTTGATAAAGGACGCGGCGTTGCCCTGCGAGTCGGTGACGGTAAAGTACACCGTGTCGCTGCTGGACAGGGCGGGCGAGGCAAAGGGCGGGTTGCCGTGCTCGTGGGTCAGGACGGCCCTCGCGGGATCGAAGAGCTTGGCTCGCTCGGCGAGGTATTCCTGCGAGATGAGCCCCCGGGCAGGGACCTTGGTGACGTTGGGGTCCGTGACGAACCAGCTGCCATCTGCGAAGCCCAGCCTCAGGGCTTCTATGATGGCGTGCAGGTACGGGGCCGAGTTGAAGTCTTGCGGCCCAAAGGTCGGGATCTTGCCCTGCTTCTCCAGCTCCTGGATGATGCCCAGGGCCATCAAGGCGACGATGCCCTGGCCGTTGGGAGGGTGTTCCCAGAGCTCCACGCCGCCGCCGTCGTGGCCGGTCCCCTGGCCTCGGAACTCGAGAGAAATGGGCTCGACGGGCTCGCTGCCCACGTCGAGGTGGTGCTTGAGATCGTCGAGCTCCAACAGCCCGCCCAGACTCTGAACAACGGCGACGAGCTCCTCTGCGATTCGGCCCTGATAGAAGCCCTTCTTGCCCTCCTCGGCGAGAGTGCGGAAGGTCCTGGCCAAGGTCGGGTTCTTCATGACTTCGCCAGCGCGAGGGGCGCGGACGCCTCCCTGGGCCCTGGGGTCAACCTTGAGCATCTCTGCAAAGTTGGGCGACGCTTGCTTGAGGCGAGCTTCGGAAGCACCCCACTGCATTACCTCATCAGCATTGTCTTGCCCTAGTCTGAACGACGGTGTGTCGTTTCTTCTCTTACATAGTGTGCGGCCTCCTCGTGCACAGGGAACCCCTTCTCGCCAAGCTCAATAGCCGGCGCCAGCACACGCTTCATGTCGACGTTGCCGCTGCCAAACCTCTCGACGGCGTCGACCCATCCGGCGGCTGCACCGGGCACCGTCACGGCCAGAGCGCTGGTCTTGGGGATCTCGGCATCAGGCTTGTCGTCCGGGATATTGAGGCGCTTGCGGACGGCGTCGAGGGTCGACTTGGCGGCTGCGCGGCCGGAGCCGTTCATGGCCTTGACCTGCTTGGCGGACGCGTCCCAGAAGAGGATGAACATGTCGCCGCCGATGCCTGTCGAGCACGGCTCCGTCATGTTGAGGCCGGCGGCTGCAATATGTTTTCCGCAGTTAGACTAGACGATTGTCATGGCGGGTGTCGACTGGCGTACCAACTGCGACTGCGGCATCCTATAGCTTATATCAGCACGTGGATGATTTTTTTTTAAGACTCAAGAAACACACGGCGCACGTACAGCCGCATTGCCTCCTGCTCGAAGCACGTCGAGGCCGCATTTCGCTGCGAGCGGCTGCGTGCAGGCGACGATGCCGTCGGTGCTGTGGACAACGCTCCGCCGTGAGGGGAACTTGAACAGGTCGGCGTTTTGGTAGACGGACGAACTGGTGGGCGGCATGGTGGACAGGCTGCGATGCGTATGTACGGAGCAGATCAAGACGCAGTACTACGCTTGGAAACGACAAGAAGGGTCTGGCCAGCTTAAATTGCGACTGAAGCCACGCGGCGGCCCTCGGGTAGAGAGGGCGTTTGCTGTCCCGCGATGGAGCTCTTGAGCGGCGGCGGGCGGCGCCGACTTGAGGGGTAGAGCGGGGCTTGTAACTGGTGGTCTTCTCGTCGACCCGAAATGACGAATCATGTCCGAGTTAAAGTACCAGACCGAGTACTCCCGCTAGCCGTTTCGCCTGGCACTAGCTAGTAGGAACTTGGCTAGCTTACATCCCCTAAAAGCAGCGAAGACTACAACTAGGTCACGGTATCCATAGGGCCCCGGGTAGCAGCTGGTGACGTCAAGTGACATACATTAATAATAGTGAAGATTATAGCGTTTATGAGGTAGCGTTTCGTGATTAGATTTTTATGGGTACTTATATTATCATATCAAATACTAAGGGATCAAGGTACCATGTAAAATTAAGCTTTTAATTGGTTGCTTATCCCCGCAGCTACATAATTGTAGTCTTCGCTGCTTTTAGGGGATACAGTGGGTGGATAAAAGCAGAGCATTAGAAGTAGTGTAGTTTTGTAGTTTTTGTAGTTTTTTATATAATAAATAATATTAAATCTAATAAAATACTTATAAGACTATAAGTTTTACGGATAAATAGTATGAGTTTATACTATAAGCTTATATAAAAAAGTGGGTTTTTATAAGCTCTTATAAGCCTAGAACTTAAAAACTACAAATGTAGTTTTTATAGTATAGTGTAATATAGTGATTTTTCATAAAATTATATAATCCAATTTTATAGCTTATTAGGAGTTAAAAAAGTCCACTTTTTTACGTAAGCTAGTTAGTTATAATATTAGCTAATTTATGTATTTATTATTATAATTCAAGTATTTTATTTAATTTATTATTAAATATTTAAGCTTTTTTAAAAATTGAAAATATAGTTTTCTTGTTAATACTCTAGATAAAAGTCACGATAATTAGCGATTTTACACCTAAACTCACTACTTTTATTAATTAATTATTACTTAACTTTTTAATAAAAATTTATAAAAATTAAGATTATATTAGATTCTTATAATAATTATAATAATATATAATTTTTATACTTATAAATAAAGTACTTCTCTTATAATTAAAGGTTAAATATACAAGTAAATTTTTTTGGTCTCTTTATCCCCTATAAAGTCTTCTATAAGTCTATAACCTAGTATAATTAAAATCTTTAATTCTTTCGTTTTTTAAGCTTAAATTTCTATGCTTTAAAAAATAATGAAAATGATATAAAAATAATAATCTTAAACCTTAATTAACTATTTATTAAGTTAAAGTTTTTAATAATTTATTTACGTATAAAAATCTTAGTTTATTTATACTTAAAAAGTATAAGTTTTGGTGTAAAAATGGGTTATTATCGAGACTTTTGTCTAGTGACTGTACTAGCACATAAGATATAATGACTAAATTATATAACCGAAGCGCTGCTTTTCTTGTAACAAAACACCGACATATAAACCGCAATACCATCTCCATCTGTAGGAGGTCGTCCACTTTGGCAGATTGGCAACATTTTTTGAAGACGCACATAATCCTCTCCTTTGTCAATCCAATCAAGACCTGTTATGCGGTTTTTTTTTCAACTCTCCTGGCTTGAGCATAATGTCCTAGACACTTGATTTCTCCCCAGCGCAAATAGAGCCTTGAGTGAGGAAGAAGATACTTGCAGCAGGCACGGAGCACGGGCTGTCTGTGAACGATGAGCGCGAACCCGAGCCCCAGTCTAGCGGTGAGAAGAAGACGGCTCAAGAAGTCAAGTCGCCCAACCGACATTCGCAGTGGTGCCGGGCAGCGTCTTGTTGGTCGTGCCATGCTGATTCATGTCATGCGTCCTCGAATATTTGTCGTCGAGATACCTAGTAAATTGCCATTCACTTTCTAACAGTAATTCGTGGGCACAACATGTGACTGGTTACCATTCCCTTGGTTGCCCTGCCAGAACAAATCTCCGTTGCTGCTTTATCCCGTACCACTTGACCGTTCCCACCTCCACCATGGTGCCGCAAATTGCCAGTTGGGAGGAACTTCTCTGGGTGTCTGAGGAAGTGCACGAGGACACTGGAGACTTCCAATATACAATGTTTGCCGCTGTGGAAGACGACATGATATACTACGGCCAGTTGAATGTACAGAAGGCGGACATCAACATACGGGACGCCAGCCGCTCCCTTGCTCGAGTTCCTGACGAGGAAATCTTTCCGCGGTGGACGCGAGACCTCAACCTCACCAAGGCGCCGGGCGAGCTCCCACCAGAAGTTTTCATTAAACGGCCCAGGCTGGCGCTGTACGACGTCTTTTCAAAGCACAAAGTCGTCCATCTCCTCGCCAAGGAGTTGGCTGAAGAGGCAGAGGCACTGGAGGTGCTTGCGCGCCGACCTCACCCAAATATTGTCAGATACCATGGCTGCCATGTACGACGGGGTTACATCACTGGAATCGTGCTCGACCGACATCCCTGCGATTTGAACAGCTACCTAGAGAATGGTCATGTTATCGAGGATAAAGCAGACTTCATAGAATCATTAAAGTCTGCAATTCATCACCTACACGGACTTGGCTGGGCTCATAACGACCTGAACCCGAGAAATGTCCTGGTGACAAAAGACGGGAGGCCCGTCTTGATCGACTTTGGCTCGGCCCACAGAATCGGGGAGAAGTTGTCGAGCAGCCGTGGCACCCAAGGCTGGATGGATTGCGAGATGGAGGATTATACGACATCAGAGACGCGACACGACACCTCGGCTCTCATCAAGATTCAGATGTGGCTAGATAACCCTACATTAGGAGAATAAATTACTTGAGCTTGCTGTATATTTAAAGACGGCCAATCAGCAAAACCAGACTTGCCATTGATGCTGCATGTGTGAACGGCACTATTCATTTAATCCTTGGCGAAACTACAAGTGGAAGAAGAATATCTTGTCACTGGGCACGAAGGCATCATGAGAGCTGACCAGGTGAATTTCTCTTGGTGCAGGGGAGAACGAATGAGTATTGATTATCTGTCTAAAGGAGTGGAATCGAATTGGACTAGATACTTTGGAACACTGTTGCTGTATTTCTGCCATAGGTCGCCTTAGTGCGCGGTGGCAGAGTTAAACAGGCGAAAACATAGCTCGTTGAATGGGTCACTTTGATCCTCTTAATCTCTCCATCCTATGACGCATAAAGAACACAACATGGCCCCATCTTGAACGTCGCTGTCGAGTCCAGGCTGTCCAAGAAATACCAAGGGGGTAAAGGTGGGAACCATTAGGCGATGATTCCTTGCTGATGAAGAACTTCCTTTAATTCTTCCAGGGTTGGAAGATGCTTCGTATCCTGGAAGACTCCATGAGTGTGGTTCTTCTTGGGGGCATACACATTATTTCCTTTGCAGGAGATGATCCCATCCTCTGCGACGCGGAAGGACCAGCCTGTGGTAATACGCACGGGATTGAGCCCGATAACATGGCTAGTGTCCATCATCAGAGTGCTCTGTGGCCCGACAAGGAGTTCAGTCTGGGTTTGGTCCTTGTGGCCAGCTCCTTTGCCAAAAGAGGTTTGGTCCAGCAGGACTCGGAATTGTCCGAGATCTTGACTTGGGCGCCACACAAGGCGGTATCAACAGGGATCTGAAAATGGGCATGAAGGAGATGTATGCCAAAGGCATCATGGGCACCATGACGAACAAAAAGCTCGCCCAAGCTCATTAACGCCGTGTCGGATATCTCGGGCTGATCTTCAGGCTGAGGAAGACTATTGGAGCTGCATGTGTAAAATAGAATTAGTGCCAACATCTGGTACAGGGTAACGATTAGAGCACAGGGGATCCAAGGAGGTGGAGAAAGTGACGTGGAAACATACACATTTCGGCATTCTGCACAATCCTGGGCGGTAGGCGCATGGTGAATGCCGGGGATGTCCACGGCCGTGACGATTTGAACTGCGGCCATTCGATGGTCAAGGGAGGCACCGGAGGCAAGTCTATTGAGCAAAGAGGCTTCCAAAGTGGTTGTCTGAATTGATATTCCAGGTTGTGACTTGACCCTACCTACCGTGAGGATAATTGCAGTGATTTATATATACCTGGGTAATGCAGCTTAGCAGCGCCATAAACCGCTGGCCGTTGGTGGTTGACCAGCAGCGTGAAAACCACCCCAGGACCATATGGTGTCCGTGCATGGTCACGACTCACCACCATTGACATCGTTTTCATAACAGGATAAGTGAGTTGAGGGGTTGCTGCCTGGTTTTTATGCATGTTGGTCACAGCAAGTGCTGCCGTCCAAACATAAATACCCCCACTCGCGTGAGTTGACCTCGACCGCAACCGACGATCTTTTTACGAACCTACACTCTTTGACAATCATGCAGGCTTCTTGGGCCCAACAAGTCACTGACCGCTTCTTTGATGGCCGCATCTCGCCGTCCAAGGTACAATGCAACGCAATTGCACAAGTCGTTTCTGGCGCATCGACGGTCAGCCAGGTGCACAGCCCAGGCTCCATGAGCTACACTGTCGTATGCAATGGGTTCTCTGGACCACGGCAGGACCTGATTGTATCTTTCAGGGAGCCAGGAGCCCATCTTGACGAGGGCATGGTGAGACTTGCCAAGGAGATCCACGGTGACCTGGTACCCGAGTCGACTTATCACGGAAATGTCGAGGGCGCTGATCCGCCTCTATCCATCTACTCCATGCCCTACCTACGAGGCTTGTGCTGTCTTGAAATCTTGCCCTTCCAGATTGAAATGGACCCCGATGAAGAAGAAAAACATGGAGTCTTTATCAAGCACCTGGCTCGGTAAGCCCCTATCCAAACCGAGAACCCTTCAGAGGCAACCGTGCTCACGTAGAAAAAGGTACTTTGCACGATGTTGGTCCTTTCCACAGTCGGTCGACCACCAAATCCAAGCCGAGAAACAAGACGGAATCCGTAAAAGACTTGCACGACTTGCGGAAGAACTACCATCGTCCATCTTGCCAGACTCGATGCTGCCCAAGCTCATTGAGGCCCTGCCTTCTCTCTTCGGTCAGGACTACCCACAGGTCCTCACACATGGAGACTTCTCGGTGACGAATATTCTAGTCGACGAGAACAAGTTGGAGATTGTAGGCATCGTCGACTGGTCTCTGGCGGCCGTCATGCCTTTTGGCATGGATTTAGACGTCCTTCTCTTGACCACGGGGTTTATGACAACCGACGGATGGCATGACTACGCATGCAAGTCGATGCTGCAACACACCTTCTGGGAGGAATTTTGGACCGTTTCTGGAATTGAAGAAGAGGGTCGAGGCAGAACACGAGTTCTGGCTGAAACGGCATGTACGATTGGCGCACTTCTTAGGTTGGCATTCCGGCGCAATGCCGACGGATCCCCATCTGAGCAGGTTTTGATATCGGAGAGCAACATGAGGCGTTTGAAGGCGTGGTTTAGCGAATAGACTGCAACTTACAACCAGGCGGGACTCTATAATGAAGTCCATGCTCTCGATGACTCTCAACACACACTCTCTTCTCTGATAATTCCTCCTTTTATTGGGCATAGATGCGACGATAATCTTTTGCCGCCTTTTTTCTTTTCCGATTTATTTCTACTGCCAATTTTTCTTTTATATTCGAGGTATAAAACCAACTTTTATTTCCGGCATTTGTGTACGACGGCCAGAGCCCAGCAGGAGGTGGTAAGCCCCGGCCCAGTTGCTGAACGTGGACTTGGTGCCCAAGCGTAGTAATTGAGGCTTTCAAAGTCCTCCTAGTTGTAGAATCTGCTTCACTCAGCCTGAGCATCATGTTATCCATAACCCTTGACGCAAATGCTGCCAGGCTGCTGTCGACCTTTCGGGTTGCGTCCCGCTCAACATCCTGCAGCCGCCGCAGCCAAAACGACCATCTTTCAGCTGTGAAACCAGACAGGTCTGCATTTTGAATGGCGCCCGATGCGTTGTTGTCCAGGCAAAGTCCCCACAGCCGTCCGACGTTATGTCGGCAATTGTTCCACTGCCGCTGAGTCGCTGACACAGTTGCATGAGCTTCCGCCCGCATTCAAAGAGCCAAGCATTGGCCGCAGGAAGAGGCTCCTCGATTGTCAAGTCTTGCATGGATCTATTTTTGGACGTGTTTTGCTCACCCTCTCCCGTCGTGCCAAGCTCGCCAAGCTACTGAGGGGACGATGCGTTTCGAGAGTCTCCCGAAGAGTAATAAGGACCATGCCACAGGGTCTGTCATCTGATAAGTCCACAGACCCGAGTCTGGCAAGGAGCATGGCCAGAATCTCACGGTTGCTTGGTCCCATGGATGCAGAGCCTTGAGCCCGAAATTCTGTCATGTCCTGGACAAAAAATGGTAGATCGGCTCATTTCTTGCCGTCGGGCTTAACTGCTTCTTGGCCATCCACAGCATCACCCCCCAAAAGTGGTGCGGTGCCTCGACAGGATGCCTTGTTCCCGAGCCTGAATACCTTGGAAAGCCAGCCGATCCATGACCGGATGGTCATAGGCTGTGTTCTTGGCTGCCTCGTGGTACAGAAACCAGAGGTCATGGAGATCTAGCTCAAGTCGTGCAGCCGAGAGATTCAGCTGAAATCGATGGCTAATACAATACCATTTGCTCGTTGCGGAAGCCCACATAGTGTGTTGCTGCTCCCATCGCGACGGGCTTCTTCAGCCAATATCTTGCGTTCCAAAACCGAGAGCGCGAGCCGGGGAGGTCCATTCACGTCCACGGTTGTTGAACCGACTCAATTGGGCTTTTTTCTGGACGAGTCACGCGCTGCATGAAATGGGCGGTGCGGTGTTGAACAATAAAACGAGGACGCTTGTTGGTGGTACGAGCTGTCCTTTTACGGCAATTCTGTTGGTTTGTGAAGTCGAATCCCCTTTGCAGGTCACATGGCACGTATTTATTGCGTACAGATAATGCGTCTCTGCCCAGCCCGCCACAGCCTGGGGCAATTGTAATGTGTCTGGTTGGCTACATGGTTGTGGTACGAAACAGTTTTTGAAGTCTGGTCATCACAAAGGGTGGCCACAGTGCATTGTACACCCCAATACATGACGTTTCCAAACTCGTCGACCATGGCCGGGTGAGGATGTAGTGGCGGGCGTAAATTTACTATAAGACGCTGGACTTTGGCCGATGGTCAATGTAAGCCGTTTTACCTATGCAGCATAGACTAGGAATGCACACGGCTCTCCACCGGACTAGTTTTCCTCGCGTATCGTCGTCTCATACTTATATGCATCTGACGTCTGGTTCAAGATGAAATTCGACACTGCAATACTCATCACTTTCTCGTTTGGCATTGTTGCGTCGCAGTTTATTTGCGTAAATCAGTAAGTAGGCTAGTCTTTATAGAGTTTGCTTTGAATTCAAAGTGTTGATGGTACAAACAGCGCGGATCCCGACAGGGGCATCGGCAATTACTGTTACTGCAACGCTGATCGTACGGCCCACCGGATAGGGAAAGATGAAAAGGGACTTGCTAACTGGGTTTTGCAGGCAAATGCTATACCCACGGCATAAGGGGTGGTCATAAGGTTTGTGATCCTGTGGGCACAGAGATACCATGCCCGAGGAGATAGCGTGCTTTCCTCAGGGTGTGAATGGCCCCAACGATGAGTGCATCGTTGTCAGGTCATGCTTGGCTTCTGGGACTCGAGCCGTGTAAAGCCGGTGGACGAGACTTGACGGTACGAGTGTTGACATGGACAATGGGAACGAGACACTGGCATTTGGGGGCTCATAGTACAGCATGATGAGCAGTCTATTTTCTACGCTCTTTTAATTTATTCTATTGATATATAAATAGCGTACTAAAATACCAATTGATACTTTATTACATGCTATAGTTGCCATGCGAAGATCAAGATGATTCTGATGACAATAGTTGTCACGCAAATGACGGTCTTCAGCAGCGTGCGACAAAGGAAACGGGATTGAGACTGTCAAGCCGATGAAACGGCCTAGATTTGAAATCATGTTTTTCAACAGAGATCAGAGCCCTTCAAGACCACAACTCCCTCCTCATCATATCAAACCACACGTACTCGTTTGGGTATTCGTCCAGAATGCTAGCGACGTATTCGTGCCAGTCATCACGCCAGCCCCCACAAGCAAACATGGCCAAGGCGTACTCCCAGTAGCTTGGATACCAGCCAGCCGATTCCCAGTCTACCAGGGACAAGTTGCCGTCGTCTCCAACAAGGACATTCTTTCGCTGAAAGTCCCCGTGAGAAAATACGGACGCGTGATCGTAAAGCACGAGGGGCAAGACGCGGCGGTAAAACTTGGCCTTGGAAGGCATGCCGCTGTTGTAGAGATACTTTTCCACAAGGGCATTGTTAAGCTGTGTTTCGGAGTCAAATGGGCCACTGATGGCATCCACGCTGTCCTCTTCGAGTGTCCAAAACATGCATTCTTCCATAGGCCGCCGTCCAATGCATCCAAAGTATCCAGGAGAGGGAATACTCCGTAACTTGTCAAACATGAGCCGTAGCTGCTGACTTGTATTCGACTTGTCCGCAGCACTCATGGTGTCCCAACGGCTGTCAAGGGATTTGCCGCGTATATACTCCATGACGATGTAACTCACTTTGGCCCCGCTCGGATCTATCCGTGAATAGAGGGCGAAAACCTGGGGCACGGAGATGTCGCACGTCTCCCGCACGAAGAGCATGTTCTCCCCCTCGGTCAAGCTAACGAGAACGCCGTACTTGACAACGAAATGCTCGCCGACACGAACAATACGCCGACCATAACCGGCTTTAAGGACTTTGCTAGAGCATCTGATGGTTGCATCTGTCGGCAGCGGCTCTGGGAGTCGGTCTGAAGCTGCGACATATGGTATGGGATAAGGGGGGGTGGTTGTGCTCGCTTCCTGTGCAGTGCTCGGCGAGGAAGGCGTGGTGACGCGGGACATTCTCGTAGATGTCATTGGCAGCCCGTACCTTTGAGGAGTATGGAAGAAGAACTGGTCGAATGGAGGAATGGCCGGTGCAAAGACGCCCGTCGCCAAGCGGTCAATGCTACACTCAGACGATCCCATCAGTCCCGGGTGAGACCGCCAAGGGCTCAGCACATAGCCCCCCATGGGAGAGACACGCACGGGCCTCATGATTTACGCGCAGGGCGTAACCCTAACCCGCCTATGTATTCCTTACAATGAAGGTCTGTTGCCAAATATATTTACCCACCGGGAAGCATATTATTATGTGCACTTATTGCTTTCGGTTGAGCCTCTTTCTCTCTTAAAAATATGAGTGGGGAGGTACCGCAGGTACAGAAGAGTACTTGAATTGCGCCTATAACCTAGTATTGTTTAGTATCTATAAGTATATAGATAGTACCGGGGACCCATATTACATTGCGATAGTGTGAGCACTTTTTAATGGTACTTTCCTTAATTAGCAGGATATAAGTTCAAGTCTAACGTGATTTAGGCCGTATAGCTAAGGCGCTTCTCCGTTTTAATTCGGCCGAAATTTCCCCTAATTATGCCTAAAGTAAAATTAGAATTTATATTAGCCCTAAGAATTAGATCTAGATTGCTTATATAACTTCTTTCCCTTTATATTTTAAACTTTAAACTTTTAAATAGCTTTATAAACGACGTTTTAGAAATCTAGGTGATTAAGATTAATGCATTTAGTGATAACTACTTTATTAGCTTAAACGCGACACACACACATACCTGTAACTCTATACGCGGTATCGCGATCTAGTTACTCTTTAATTCCCGTAACTTACTTCTTAAGGATAGTAAGGTTCTTAAATAAGTAGTAAATTAATTTAAATAAATTAATTAAATGCTTTTAAAATACTAGTAATTCTAATTACACGTATTATAAGCTATAGCCTATTATAAGTGTAAATAAGTACTTAAATAACTTAAATAATTTAATTATATAACGTAAGCTTATCTAAGGCTAATTAAAAGACTTAATAAAATATTAATAAAAGACCTTATAAAATTAATTATAAAGGTAAAACTTATTAAATTAAAGACTTATACGTGTACTTATTCTCTTATATTAATAACGTAATTATAATTAAATATATTATTTAACTTTCTTTAACTTATAAGTATAAATACTATTATATAA